AACTAAGATTTTTTTAATTGTGGTCTTACCAGTGATCAGAATTTCATTCCACTACAGGGATTTTAAGCACATTATCTTGTGATCTTCTGTGATTCAAAGATATTCATGATTAAAAAAGTTTTTTATAATCACTTTGATAAACCTGCCATAAAAGTAGGAGGGGCACCAGTTGAATAACCCTTAGTAAAGGTATACACTTGTGGCAATACTTACTGTGTATTAAACACAAATCATTCTAAGAATATACGTACACATCATATATTTCTATATACTTACTGCTTCTCTTGCTTGGTTGGCAGATCTGATAGCCACGTAACTCAGTTTGTCAGACATGTCCTAAATTGACTAAGAGGCAAAATAACCCCAAATGATTATTTTAGTATAAGATCAATCAGTGTAAGAGAAACTAGTGCCATTGAGCGACAGGGCTCGTGCAATAGATATTGTTCAATGCAGCTGTTGCTGCTAGTGGCGTGGCAGCTGCTGCTGCTGCTGCATCGTTTGTTGTAATGTGATGTCATTTGTGCTGTTTTGTGTGACGTACGTGACGTTTTGGGGGCTAACAAAAGACTACAGATACAATAATGTAACCACACAAGAGTAGGGACCCTACTCTTGTTGGTTTACATTATTGTATCTACTATTGTTGTGTCCTACTCTTGTTGGTTTACATTATTGTATCTACTATTGTTGTGTCCTATTCTTGTTGGATTACGTTACTGCATCTAACAAAAGACGTGCGCAGTAAACAGTACCCGAGTACTAAGAAACTGAGCAACTTTTTCAATGACCAAATCAGATATGGCACACGTCCGTAACTATGGGAATATATAATATATAAGTTGGTGTGTTACTGGGGACATGAACCCATTAAACCAATACCAGATGCTTAGCCCGACCAGGCTCGATGACTAGCTGTTTCACGTCTCTCACTTTCGCATCTTTATACTTCTTCTCCCAACGTAGTTAGAACCGAAAAGGCATAACTTGTGACTACCAGATGCTATGCTTCTGATGCTATTGATACTGTATGTACGCCATATTTTTCGCGTACAGATATTTTCCCGAATTCAGACCTGACGGACAATTTTGCGAGTGGTTAATTTCGCGGTTGGTGAATTCCCGAATCAGTGAAGAACGGCGTGTTGTTATTTTCGCGTGGTGTTATTTTCGCGGTCGGGGACGCGTTCGCGAAATTCGCAAAAATTAAACCACCACAAAATATACAGCGTATACAGTATTCGATGCTATGGCGGTGATTTGATGTGCATCCCAGAGCAGGGTGCAAAATTAACGCGAGTCCGGAGTCAAATACTCCTTGATTTACTGTCGGACTCCCTGATTTGACATACGCAGGAGTGCGTGTTACTCCCTAAAAATTCTGCTATACTAACTATAGTTCATTCCAGAGCACGGCCTCGCGGAATTGCAGCATTTTTTCAGCAAATGTCAAAAGAAAATTGGGCAGACGTACAACCCCATGAATCTTCAAAATAAGCACATGCGTTATATTGTTAATATCTTTAGTTTTGAACTTCAGACTGCAGACGGCGCCGCATTTCCTGCTGAAATGCCAAATGAAAGGGTTGTCATGGGAGTAAAGGAGTAGGCCTACCATACATCATATACCATTACTACATGTACTGTAGTACTACGGTAGCACATACTCTTTTCCAAGAGATGAATCAGGATGTATTTAAATGCTGAAGGTTTGGTTTAAAGAAAATATTACAAATTACACACCACTAAACTACGATTTACACGATTCAGACAATTTTAAATTATTCATCATAATATTGTCTCAGCGGGTCAGGGTGTTTGGAACAGAGCAAGGATGTGGCGACTATTATCGCCAAAATAAAATGTTCTAATGAATCTACAGGCTTTCGTAAACTGCCTTTCGCGTGACGAGGAAGGCGCGACTTCCTATTGTAACCGGTTTGGCCTTTGTATGGCCTTGCTATTGCCTTACCGATTGATTAAGTAACAGGAAAATTCAGACAAAATCTACCGTTTAGGTTTGAGACCTCTTGAACCAATGGACCTCATATCATTCTATTCGATAGATGGCCGTGGATGCAGGTAGATGTTGTCTTAGGTAGGTAGTTAGGTAGGTAGTGTTGGCAAGTGAGTGCTTGGGTGATAGGTCGGTATGTGCGTGAGTATTGTACTATGTAGGTAGGTGGGTAAGTAGGCAGACAGGCAGGCAGGCAGATAGACAGACAAACACACAGACAAACAGACAGACAGAGGACGGCTGCCGGACAGGACGCCCGCGCGTGCGCGTAATGGTTTGAGTTAATTAAACAACGTAGCCTTGTTTCCCACAACACTGAGCCAACGAGTTTTACACTGGACGATCTGCAGCCGGATATACGCGCGAACAGCGGCCATCCTGGTGGCGCCTTTTCATCCAAATCGCTGCTCTGTATTTAGAACAATTTCAACGGTTTATGTCAAATGGCGCCTGCATCGGTCAATTTGAGGAGTTGTGGCGCTTGCAGAAACCTTTCGACTATGCACGTACGAACGAGAATAATCCAATGGTCGTAATTGCTAATTTTTTTGGTTGGCGCGTTAGTCTTTTCTTCCTAGAAAGGCGATTTCGAATTTATTTAATTTCACGCCCTGAACTTATTCTCGTACATATCGCTACCCATAGATGGCGCGACGGAGGCCTCTCTTCGAGGGATTTTGCAAAGAATTTCCTTAGACTGCCCCGCGGTGGAGAGTTTGACAGCGCCTCCACTAACTATAACTTTAGTGTAGCGAAAGATACTTGGCCGAGTTAACGTCCTTACCAGTCTATCTATCTGGAATTGTCGCAGCATCTTATAGTACACCGCGAGCCGCAGTGATTGGATGTTGTTTACACTGAGCGTTATGTGGAAAATCACCAGCCGTATGTCTGTTATATACCCCCCAGTGCTGTCATGTTTCGGATCAATAACTTAGACTTTGGTACATTGCCACACCGTACGAATACTTCCTATTACTACAAGTACATTTTTACAATAATTACTAGTAATTAAGTGACTACTACTAGTAGTGAGATACTACAAGTTACCAGCACTGACTGTACTATAACCACGCAGGCTGTGGACTAACGTCAATACACCAGATATGATCTAACTAGCAATACCGTTTCTTTGGGCTACTAGTATATAGTATAGTACCCCAGGACGGCAGGAAGCAGCAAGTAATAGTATTACTAATTACTGAGTACTAGTACTACTAGTACTAGCTACTACTAGTACTAGTACTACTAGTCCTTATACTACTACTACACTAGCTCCACAAGAAACCTCTTTGCTAGGGTTAGAATACCCCTATACTAGACGTCACACAGGCCCTTGAAGGCTTTCAATAAAATATAATGCTAACTAAATACGAATCTATTTACTAACGAAATTCTTAAGTTGTTTCTAGTATAGGCGCCCTACTCTTTTCAAGAAGGGTTTGCGAGGGTGCGAAAGGCTATATATACGACTAGGACTCGCTCCCACCTCGATTAGGCCATATGCGTGATCTAAGCTAAGCCGAGAGGTGGGAGAGAGTGCCAGTCTATGGCTATAGGCGGCGAGGCACGGCGGGCGCACTGCTTTCCAACTCCCCCGTACGAGCCTCGCCATTGGAACGTTGCAAAAACGTTGCAGCGTGGGGCGCGAAAGAGCGCCGGTACGGTGTTATCCTGATGCTGAACAGCCGTTTCCATTACTGGGCAAGGTTCGCGACACGTCAGAATTTCGACAGTCTTTCTGTGATTTCGCACGGTGACACAGCTCGGTTACGAATTACAGTTTTTATAACAACGTGAACACTGTTCACGTCGCCCAAATGTCTACCCTCTGTGTCCGCCCACTAAAATTGCGGCACTTGTCGCTGGCATACTAGGATCCGTGCGCCGCCCGCCAATTCATTCGGCGCACGGATCCATAGCTGCCAGCGGCTGCATACTGTCGTAGGACGTTCCCCGGGCGGTCCGCGTGCGCCTTGCCCGCGGCAACTGCGCAGAAAGATCTGCGCTTCAGCGCTTCGGATCAACATCTCCCTTCGCAACGCTTCTCTAGTATCCCCGTTCTCATCTGGATGCAAGATATCATATGCATATGCAAATGCAAGTCAAATCAAGATAACCTTTATCTCCGAATATGGCGTGATTACAAAAGTACCTACACACGATCATATCATTACATTATAATACAACGTCTAAGCGCTAAGAGCACCATCCCTCAGGTGAGGAACAATATGTTACAACACTACGATGCCTAGTCTTACCTCTCGAACATTGTGGTAGTAAATGTCTTCTATAGCACCCCATGCTGGTGATAAATTGTGGCAGCATTTTCCACAGCGCCACATCCCGTCACCTATCATTTTACTACCTTACACTAAGCAGTGAGCAAATACAAAGTATGTACTATCTCCTATCATATCATATATAGATCAAAAGCAATGTGTTAATTAATTATGCGCAGCCCATTCACGTGGTAACATCTTCAGACTAACGATGGTTTTGAAAAAAGCGAACAGAGTGAAACTCTAGACTGAATTAATGGACTCTTGACATACTAACAGATTGCAAGCATGGAAAAATAATGTCAATGTGTACATTAAAGCAGACGAAGGAAATAACATAACACATGTAATTATTGACATCAAAATACACACATCGCAATGTGATCTGCAAAATATTTGTCACACGGCAGAGTATATATCTTCATGTTGAGCATTTTACAAGTAGCGCAGAAGCTTGATAATGAAATGCTAAAAACAATAATTAAGTTAATAAAATTTGCCATGAGACTATATTGTGCAATATGCAAAAGCGACAACAGAAATGTAACATAACACATTTTACCCAGGCAAGGCTGAATGCATCATTGCCAAGTTTTACCAATGTACAAATTGGTATGCCAATTTGGATTTGGTGATTGGCAGATGTACATGGGGATAAACGATATATGGCATAGGCTGTATAGACAATCAAAAACACTGGCTGTTTGGGTAAGCTGGCAGTAGTGTTTTGAAGCATATATCCAATTAGTTTTGCTGTTTGTACCATCCTTGAGTGAAATACTAAAGGTTGTGGTACTTGTCATTAAGTGTCGACCGTGGCGCGATCGAGTGCGCGCCGGAGACACGAAAACGCTACAGTAATAATCTATGTAGGTTACACCTTGACAGGTGATAACCCTAAAATAACGCTTTCCTATAATATCGTATTACACGTATATTACTCGCGTAATAACCGCAATTTGGCCTCGGATTTCAACCCTGTACTTGCTCTGGCGGTTTATAAGTGCGCCATACCATGAGGGAATATACTAGGCGCAATACTTGGTTACCCGATTCAAATTGAGGTGCGGGCTTATAGCGCCCTGCGGTTATTACGCGATCATATACGGTATCCCCTTTTTCCTTTCTCGCCAAAGCTAACATGGCCAGGAACTAATGTTTACAACTCATTGATCAATAGTCTACTGATATTATACAATTATTACAATTATACAACAATTACTTTCAGCATTTTAGATGCTAATTTGGGTTATACATAAGCTAATGCTGCTTGAGTATCAACTGGTCTCTCTCCACAATGACATCATTACCATTAACACAAAGTTGGAGAAGAAAAAGAGTGCCAAATGGCAGTGTGCGGCATACCATATTTTGACATCTACCTTAACAGAGTAAAATAAAACAAAGTACCTTTAATTATGAAACTGGTTTACAATACATTCAATTATGTTCATTACATATACATGGTATTCAATTATAAAGAAAACATAAGCCCTTGGGCCGCAAAGCGACAGCGCTCATCTAACGTCTACTGCGGTGACAGCCTGTGGTGGAGTGGTGGGATTCTAAGTAACCCCTGCTATCCCAAAAGCTGTTCACATACACGCCGAAACAGTGGAATGCACAGGGATGGTATCAGGAACCTTCTCAAAAGAATGTTTGTTGGATCGATTGAAAGTTGCCACGAGATGGCGCGTACGTTTAAGTGTCTAGATTAAAGATGGAAGCTCCCATCATACGTAGTAGCAACAACTATTTGCAAGACAGAATAGGTAAGCACTCATCCATTACCTACGCAAGCCTACAGGCTTGCAAATTGCAATAGAGAGCTGCCACCGTGTAAAAATTAAGGCAGGCAAAAACTGCAACCAACACATGCACTGGCAGCAGCCACTGGCAGTGGGCATACGTTACATGTAACATACTGACAGTACAGAAATGACATAGAAATTATATCGATTTAAGGAACATACACCTTCTTACCGCAAATTTGCTTTTGAAATTTCCCTGTGACATGTGTTAGGCTCATACATCCAGCAGGGAACAATTTCCAGCCAAAAATTGGCAAAGCAAATGTGCTATACAAAAAAATTTTTGCATAGCAATTGATAAATTTGTATACATTTTTTTTCAGACAATCACAGTGCAAATTTACACGCGCAGTGCATGCTTGGCGTGTTATCGTGTCTGCCTGTGACAGGCAGCCGCTAGCTTTAAGCCTAGGACACACTAGCGATTCTGCCATGCTGCCGCGGCAGCGGTTTAAAAACAGCGTGCGACTTGGCACTCGTCCCGCTCGCCAATGTCGAGTGAAATAATATCGGGCCGGGCGAGTGAAAGCTAAAGCTGACTCGCCCATGTTTGGCGAGTAAAAATAATTGTCCAGAACTTTATCAAATTTTGGTTCCTACGTTATATATATACCAAACATTGATGAAATACAGTTCTAGCGAGTGTAAGGGCGGCATCGGACTCCTCGACCACGACATCCTCACTTTATATTATCAAAGGTCACCGAAGAAAGCAGCCGCGCGAGAGCGTG